CCTATTCTGTCTTGCAAATAGTTGTTGAGCTACTACGTACGATGGGACCTTCTATCTTTAATCTGAAGACACTTAAACGTACGCGCCATCTCGTGGCAACTTTCATAACGATCCCAACGAACATTCCTTTGAGAAGGTTCCTGATACCATCCCTGTGCATTTCACTGTTTCGGCGTGTATGTGAACACATTTGGGACTAACAGGGTTTACTAGAATCCCACCACTCCACCACAGAGTCACTGCAGTAGACGTTAGATGAGCGCTGTCGCTCCGCGGCACTTGTTCGTGTAAGAGGAGGTGCGGCGGAGACGAAAAGGGTGTTAGCACGCGGTAAAACGGCAGATTGAAAACGTTAAAGAGGGGGGAAAAAGGGGTGAAGATGTACGCGAGAGACGTGAGGCGTGAGGCGTGCGAAGCGTGAGAGGCGTGGGAGCCGTGAGAGGAGGAGCTAGCGCGGTTGAAGCGTGAGAAAAAGAAAGAGCGATGACGAAACAGCAGTAATCGTTACGTGCGGTCGCGTTTAGAGCCACTTTATAGCGCGTACAAACGAATAGATTGGCAAAAACGCTTAAAGTTTGAGCATACGTTAGTCTAAAACAAGAAAGCGTCGGACTTACGTGTACATGGCGGAGTCGAAACGCTCTGTACGATGGCGTGTGTAGTAGTTTGCGTGCGTCTCGTTGCAAACAGGTGACGTTGATCGCGGTACAACTCGTGCGTAACTCGTGCTTAGAGAGAAAAACAGATATTAGAACCGATACGATACGAGATACTAGATACTATACCGATACTAGAAACGTGGCTATCTACGCAAGTATTGCTACTACCCTACCTAAGGAAGGCACTCGGCACGCTACCTCAGGTTCTACGGTTTAGCAGGTGGGCTAGTGACACCCGGGTAGGTTGCGTCGATAGAGTCCACGATAGATAGCACAGATAGATAACACAAACGCAGTATTATGAAAGCTACTCCTCGTGCGTCTATTTCAGCTCAATCAGACACAATACACACTCTACGAAACTACACAGATATCTACATACACACAGAATCGTAACCGACTATCAGTAACCTCGTACCGTTAGACGTGGATCGCGAAGTAGCTCGGCAGGGGTGAAGGTGGAAAGTTGAGCTCATAGGGTCTATGTCCCCCAGGGTACTGCCGGAACGTACCCTGGGTAAGGTCCGGTATACCGGAACGTACCCTGGTCACTATTTGATATGGTTAGGGTTAGGGTTAGGGTTAGGGATAGGGTTAGGGTTAGGGTTAGGTAGTAGGCGTAGGCGACTCCCTGGACTCATTAGTGGAGTAGGCGAGGTACGGTCCGGCATATTAGATAGTACCAGGGTACGTTCCGGTATACCGGACCGTACCCAGGGTACCTTCCGGCAGTACCCTGGGGGACATAGACCCTCTCAGCGAAAGTTGAAGGTAGGAGGGGAAGATGGCAAGGAAAAGTAGAGAAGGAATAGGATCAGGAGCGGGGGAAAACCTGGACCGTGTTGCGGAAAGGATGAGAGCCGACTCGTTCTCTACCTGCGAGTTTGGCGTCAACGAATCCGGTCCCTAGAGATGGGCCAGGTGGGCATCGCGGCGGAATCACCATTATATGTGATGGAAGTGGTTTACTGTGATTGCGTTCGTGCCACGAACTATTATAGAATACGAACTAATAGTAATATAGACTGATGGGAACTGGCGCTTTCCTACAGTACCAGCAAGATGGGGGGGGGGGACTGTTACGCTGTGGCGGAGGTTTGCTATCTTTGTGTTCATAAAATTGTCCCACTTTACCGATGAGGGAGTTTAATTTGATGAAAACACAATTGTTAGTTACTTCAAGTTTCTACCACGTTTGTGTATTCTATAGTCTTCATAATGACCATTGCAGGTGCTTACAGTGAACGCGCTATGCCAAGTGCTGGATTATTTCCCTTTCTACAGTCAACTGTCTGTTCACTCGACAACATATGCAAGAACCCCTATGCCACTGATTCAGTGGATTCTAGATCGGTACCAGCGTAAGTATAGCAGGCTTAAATCTGCATTCATAGCAAATCAAAGATAAAGAAACTGCCTTTGTAAACATATAAGAATTAAATAAGGAAAAAGGCAAAGGAAGAAATATTAGATGTGGGAAAATAGGAGAGAGGTTGATAGTCTGATAGCTGGTTGATTTACTATTCATTTAATGCCTCATTTAACTAATGATTCTTGCACTTTCCTCTGTATCTTACTCCTTTCCTCCTCTGTTCATATACCTTGTTCTCATCCATATTACTCTCCTGTCTCTTCTCATTGTCCTCTTCCTTCTGATTCTGTTCCTTTTCCTTCTCCATTGTTTCCTCATCTTACTGCTTCTGGACTTCCTCTTCTTTAGTAAAAAATAGAAATGACCAATGTTATCCACTAGTGTAATATAACAAAATTAAAAATGTTTTCCATAGTGCCGAGATGTTGATCCGTCGACTGGGACCAAATATTGCAAATACAAGCGTAATATCAGCATTAGGAAACCTTCCTGAAACCCTGGACATCATGTTTGCTGTTACAGCACCGTTACAGCAAGCAGAGGTTATTAACTTCATTGGTGAGTTTAATAAAGAAATACCGCAATGGTAAAGACATTTATGATGAAATAAATATTGTACTATTATCGCAAGGGAAACGTGGACTTAGTGAATTGAGAAAATCGATAGGGTACTGTTTGTTTTCGAGGTCTACAAAAGTAACTCTCATGTTGCTCGAACAACCATGCAATAATTTTTTTATGTCTAAAATCTGGAGTAAATAATATTAGAGTGGAGAAGTCTTTCATATACTATTTCTATGATTAAGAGATTAGCTTCAGTCTACCGATGATTTTTCTATTTCATTAATATAAACTGTGTGCGTGCGTGTGTGCGTGTATTTGTGGTTGCATGTTTGTATGTTTTGTTTGGCTTTACAGAAAATGGCCTCAGATTAGGCGATATTTTTAAAGACAAAGAGAAACTGATAGAGTTTCTTACTGAAGAAAGTGCTGTGCTGCCACGTGAAGTCGTCGAGTCTCTACTGGAAGCTAAATTCAACTTGGACGAGGTATAAATGTGCTATACCATACCTATGAAAACATGCATTCTGAATTGTACTCTAGTTTGTATATAATTGTGAAATCATACAGTAAGACCCCGCAATACGTAAGTGATGCGTTCCAGAAAAATTGTTCATAACGTAAAAATTTGTGATTTTCTTCATATTTTCAGTCATATTTTCTTGTCATAATCCAAGTCTAATCATGTATTCTTGCATATTATTACATGTATTTTATTTAAGTAACTTTACACACATGATTGAGCATGCCTTTTTTGAGTAGAAACATATGGCTCATTCTTTTCAAAAGTCATGTAAGAACAAATTTGCATTTTGTATCCTGAGGCACCCCATATAACCAACAATAAGCTTGAATTCATGAGCATATATAGGACAAAATATTTAGTTATGGCAATTCTTTTATGCTATTTCTAATCTATAGATGTATGAAGTGACAGGCTACATAGACTTCCGTGGTGTGGCTTGCAATAGCGACCGACTGGTGCAGTACGTGAAATTTAACAAAAACAGCCCTGCCACTGCAAAAGAGGTGTCTAAGGCTCTCTGCAGCTTGAATGAGAGCAACCTCGAAGTAGTCGTGGAAACACTGCAGCAGTACATTGATGTCAGGAAGATATCAGAAGCGGTAAGTGGCACATCGCACTGATGTGTGCAATTAAGTATAGTAGTGACCAAGACGATGTTCATAAACATGAGAAACTTAACCTTATATCCCATAGGTGACATTTGCACTGAGTAATAGCTAATTTTGTTGTGTAAAAATTCAGTTACATTATCGAAGGTTTGAATTAGCAAAACCTTCATTTACAGTCCTGTATTCACTAATCTGTTTAGAGGATTTTCCTGTGTTATAAATTATCATTAAGTAATTGTTCTATAGGCGAAGACTTTGGCGGGAGCATTGGGTCAGTACGACCTTGGTACGGCTCTGGAGGACATTGGCACAATGCTGGACACAGTGCGAGATATGTCAGCTCTCTCCGGCACTGCTCAGAGGCTTCCCAGCATGCACGACATCACTGAGTGGGTGCTGTACTTTAAACGCTTCACAGAGAGCATCCCGAGGTTGGACGGCACCAATCTCGACTACATCTTGTAAGCTGACATCATGATAAAGGATACAATATGTCACTCACATCTCTTATTTGTGCGCAACTAATGTTATATGTATTAGGTATGAACCCATCAGCCACACGTAATCAGCAGTAGAATGTTGTTGGAATTGGTGATCGATAAATGTGTTAAAATGCTGAGAAAACTTTCAAGGTAGTGAAAAATAATAACTGCTGATATCTTTGTGTGTAGTTTCAACAGAGTCATCAATGACCTGGACAGGATGATGGGTAACTTCTCTTCATGGCTAGATATCAAGCGTGGATTCTCTCACATTAACCAGACGCTGGTTGTTTTGAACAAGCAGTTAGTCAAAGTAGAAGGTATGCACATGGCTGTACTATGTGAAGGAGCGAGTTGGCCATACTTGCTAGATGTGGCATTAGGTATTATACACCTTGACCTGAGTTTGATGTCACCTTGTTGTAATAGTCACTCGCATACTTTCCAATGATTGGCTATGTCAAGCTTACATTTTTGATGCTCTGCTCAGCGTTTTGCTCCTATAATCTGAAAATTGTGTTCAATTTCCATCTTCACACACATACACTGGGCTGTACGGCATTGTATTTTTTAGAATCTGGCTTTATGCGTTACTTTGTAATGGTAGTTTAGTTATCAAGGAACGGAATGGTTGATTATGATATCTAATGATACCATATCTTGAAAGAGTTTCTTGGAAAAGTTTTAACGCCAATTATTGCAATGAAATTATTCAGATGCGACACTGAACTTTGCCAGCCTGTTCAAGGATCCAGTCAATTTCTGGGAAGTGATCAACAGTACTGGCAGATTGCCAGATCAGATGGTTGAGCTTTTGTGGAGCATAAACATTAAACCGGAATACGTGAGTTTTTTTATTAACTCCCTTGTCACGACATGGTTTTATCTGGGCATGATTGGCATTGGTTAAATAATGCACCTTCTAGGTAAGCCTTTCTCTAAACACTGCATAGATTTACGTATTCTATTTATATAGGTCACTGGCATTGTAGAGCCGTATTTGTGCATGTGCTTACATAGGGGCATCATTTTATAACATGTACCAGAGGTATAATGACCTAGTGAAATGAAACAAAAAGTTAAACTATGATAGTTATGATAAAAATTAGGGTAGCATGAAGATAAAAGGTGCCATAAAACCCAATTAGCAAAATATGAGAATAAATAGTAAAGAGCTCGCAACATAATTATTAATTAATAACATTGTAGGCGAGTATTACAGCAGGCTTTCATTTTTAAGGGGCGCGATCGCGCTCGCGCTCCACCGCGCACCCGAAATTGTGCCATGGTGTGTGCATCATCGCGCCTCATAAAAGTGGTTGAAATCGCGCACCAAAAGTATGTGTATTATGTTGAAATAGCGCTCCATAGAGTTGTCAATGTAGGGGGGTACAAAAAGGTTAGCAACACACAACAATTTGTGGTGTGTAAGTAACTGAACGTATGGCAGAGGTACAGGTTACTACCCTCTGGTTTATACAACTAGACAACATCATCCAAATACAGGTACCTACACGGTAGCCACAAGTTACCTGCTCGTTTTCCACTATACGTGGCGAGAAGTGGTTTTCTGCCGACGTAAAACAGTCGTAGGGTTGGAGGGGCTACCTACGTGGCTGCTACGTACAAGTAATTTGGCTAGTTTGTTGATGGATTGTGATGATATTTCGTGCTAAAATATGCAGGTACATGGATTAGAATCTCTAAGGATGAAAATCAGAATAAATAAAACAAGTTTATTTTTACATCCGATCAACTCTTTTATTAATCTGTGTGCTATTGTTGGGTTGTTGGATGAAAAGAATGTAATCATGACGAAGCCATCGAATGAATGAAGGTGAAGATGAATGATAGTCAGTGGATTGGCATGACATCCCAATTTTCGTTTTGGATTTCACTCTAGACTGAGGATTGCATGGTCATGATTCCATCATCACACCCCAATAGGCATGATGGAGAGCCCTCAAGGAGCTCTCCATCATCCCTTTTAAGGGTGTGATTTTTAGTGGAGCTCTCCATCATGCCTCTTAAGGGTGTGATTTTTTAGTGGAGCTCTCCATCATGCCTCTTAAGGGTGTGATTATGGAGCGTGAAAAGACCCCCTATGGTGTCCTAGGGGAGTCATTAGTAGTACTCCTCCTGTACTTTTCAAATCTGAAAGCCTGATTACAGTCTACCATGCACACCTGGCACAAGTACAAGTCAAAAGCCATGCTGTTATATTTATTATAATATATTATATTGTTCAAATGAACTTTATCGGCTTGTCTTTGTTTAATGGGTGTCTTTGATCCCCTTTAACCATCTTTCGGCAGTGTGACGAGAGAGTGGATGTCATATTAGCAGTAAAAAACACCTACAGCCACTCTCTTTATAATGTAAAGCATGTTTGCTTGGTCTGGTAGGTATTAGACGTAGTGAGGTCGGCACATCTTTCTTCGGAAGAAAGGCGCACATTCTACTGCAAAAGCCCTGGCTTCGTGAACCTACTGACATTTACTGATCAGCCATTGGAGAATGTGCAGATGCTGGCTAGATACCAGGACGTGATCTGTGAGGCCAACGCTAATGGGTTGATCGACGAACTCTACACCCAGCTGGACATTGGTCTCATCGACGAAATGGTGAGCTACGCCCTGCTTGGTGCTTGGATGCTTTGGCAATTCTGTTGTTAGCATTATCCGGACTTCGCTTTTTTTTTCAATTCCTTTTATTATGTGTTATTCAAACCTACACAAATGCATGTTTAGTTACTTGCCATTTCTATTCTGGTTCAGTTTAATTTTTAGCTCATCTGACACAGTCAGATGCAGCTTGTATGAGCGTCCGTCCGTCGGTTTACAATATATAGGCACAAATCTAAACGCCCCCCTGTACGGTGTTGATATCCGGGATGTCTAATCGGAAACATTGAAAGATGAGGGCAATCCTAACGATTTTTGTGCATTGCATTTTCCAGTTGGAGAAATATAATGAAACCGGTAAGATCTACCAACGGCTGGATTGGGGCTCGTTGCTGAATAATGCGCAGCAGCTGATAGAGACCTTAAATGAGCTAGCTAACAAGTATGGACACTACCTGGAACACTTTGCTGAGTCTGCCTTTAGATTCAGATCAGCGGCCAGACTGCTGACATTTGAATTACCAACGCTGGTTGCAACGTGAGTACTGGGAGTCTCTTCTGAGTTTTTACCTGTTTACCAGTGTTCATGCACGTGTAAAAATAGAGTTAGGCATATTTGTAACACACTTGCATTGTTAATGTCATTTGTGCACATATTTAATGCACACATTTCATAATAATCAGTATTTATTATTATTAATTATTGTTGTTTTTTTATTCTGGCACATGTGTTTTATGTACACATTGGTAATATCAAGGGTAGATGATGACAATTAATTTGTCATCATCTACTCCTGGTGATATCGTGGGTGAATGTGCTTTAGGGATGAGCCAATACTGGTAATTGCCCAGACCATACTAGAGGAGACTTTCAGCAAAGATGATGTCAGGTTGGGTTTAGTTTTGGCCGATCTAACACTGGACATCTTGGAGCAGGTGGATGACCGTGACCTGGGTATGGTATTCTCTCATACTCACTCTTATCAGTCTATATTTCAGTCTATATTATAAGGATCGATGTTCTACCTGGTTGCTGACGACACCACATGTAACCATGTTTAGTTTAACATCATATTTGTAATGGAGTAATCGTAGCTTCAAAACTGCAACCAGTATTTTCAAGCCCACTGGTTTCATGTCCGGTTAATTAATTTGAAACTGTGAAATGCTGGGGGTGCATGCTGTATTTATTGTTTGTTATCTTGCTTGATGACCAGTTTCCCAGCACCATCAATTATCCACCTGCCTTGTTAGAAATATCAGCGGTTCTTTGCAGATACTCAGGATTCACTATACACTGGACTACTGGGCAACACTAGCGACCTGCACGTCAGCCATGATTATCCTGTTGCTCTGAATGAGGGCTCACTCCTCAAGTTAATCCAATACCAGCCAGAAGTGCTGTTAGCTGCTATGGAAGTCCTTTCTGACCCAGTAATCCAGCAGGTAAGCAACTTATTAAGAATACTTTCCACCTTTTGCACGGGTATTGCTCTAGTAAAGATTAAACGTTTATTGGCGAATGAATTGAATCAATCACTTGTTTTATTTATAGAGGAGATATATTTCTATGCTCAAGCCAAAAATTTCATGAAATTTCCAGCACCTAATTATGTTACCACACAAATTTTGAATTTTTATGTAAAAATGGTATTTTGGATATTTCTCAACTACCAGAAAGAGTGAGGATACAAAATTTTTGCCACATGTTAAGCACAATATGGACCAAAATAGTGCGTCTGGATTTTTCTTTAATTTTCCTATTTACCGAGAAAACTGGAAAAAACTGCTTAAAAATCAAGTTGTGTGTTAGAATTGAAAATTTTAGCGAATAAAGAGGCATAACTAATAAAATACGGCACTTAATAACTATCCCTGACACACTTCTTTACAGCAATATGTTATCATTAAAACGAGTGTAAAATTAAATTAATCCGAGTTGTAATCACAGAGAAATATCCATTTATACATCGGCTACTATGTCAGAAATCGAAACGGAGAAATCATTGTTTTTCTATTTTTCAAAATGAGTGACCGCCTGTGTGAAAAATGGGTGAACGTATGTGAAATATCTACTGTTAGTACTTACTGCGACATATCCATGACTAACTGACACCACTAAATTGGTAAAATGTTCCATGCACCTTGAGAAATTCTGAGAAATTACCAGGTTACCATCGCAGAACGCGTGAACTGGGCTCATCCTGACTTCACAAAGCTAATATGTCAACAAACGCGCGCCTTGTACCACACTACAGTAAGGTGTGTTGCGAGGTGTTAGAACTATTTTGGGCGTGGGATACTTGTTGGATCACTAGCAGATGTACATGAATGTACATGAATACATGTAATGACAGCTGTAGCAGGGTTGACACTGAATGATACTGGCTTAGTGAATATTGTGGTTGTCTCTGACCTCATCATGATCTCAGCCGCTGCTTACTACACATGTACGCGGGCAATCAAATCGCTCTGACAGTTCACATGTACCGTTATATCAAGAAATTAGCATGTACGAAGGTGGCACATAGTGTTAGCCATCGAATAAAATTGAAAATGAAAAATCGGTAAAAATTTGCCTAAACCCTTGAGAGTATCCTTAATGCAAATAAACAGCACTAAATTCAGAAACTCACTTGTCCAGGAAATACTGAACTTTAATATTGTCATTTTAATGGCATGCCATACTCCAGAAAGCAGGTATGTCCATTGTAAACTTGTAAAATTTAGTCAAAGAATTGCGTTTTGCTTCATATTGGAAAACACATTTTTTCATTATACCCGCGCAAACGAAGTTTGAAGTTTAGTATAATATTGGTCAGTACAGCAGCGTCATCTGTCGTATCACAACCGTTGCATCTTTTACGTTGACCAGAGCTCTCACCGTTACAGACGAGCACAAGAGCTGTACATGATCATACATGTTGTAAGAACACACATCAGTGTTGTAGTCGAGTCCGAACCCCCCGAGTCCGAGTCCGAGTCCGCACCCCCCGAGTCCGAGTCCGAGTCCGAGTCCGCGCCACCCGAGTCCGAGTCCACACCATCCGAGTCCGAGTTCGAGTCCGAGTCCAGTTTTGATAAAAAAAGGGGGGCACAGACCGACCAGGAGGACTTCGCTATTACCAGGGTGATTCGAACTCGCGTATAATAAAGGTTAAGTTTCTAAATACTTGAATATTTAGGCACAAACGTTAAATTGAAATCATCTTCCTTTAAAAGGGGAGGTGATTTTAGGTGTTAACCGCTGAGGTTAGCTGAGAAGCGTAAACTAAGCGTGCACCAAGCGTAAACACAAAACATAAGAAAACGAAAGTGTGCGTATATCAACCTGCGAGGGGCGTTACCATTGGGACACAGGGGCATGAGCGTTGTGAATAACAGCAAGCAATGGATGGTCGAACCGATTTATCTTGCTGTGAACTATCGTGACTGAGTTTCGCCTCTATGGTTAGGGTTTTGCAATTTTCCTTACGAAACATGCCCGTACAATTGAACATGACCGAACTACGAAAAACAAAATGCTAAATCGTACTCATTCATGTATTTTATATCACGTAGTTACTTTGAACAATTCTTTTAGCCATAATTGCATACATCACTAATACCACACTGTTGCAAGCTCTCATTAATCATAGCTAACGTATCAGTACGTCAAAAAATAAATAATTATAAATGCTCTATTATGACTATTGACTAACTGCCAGTTATCTATATTATGAAAGCCTACCCTACCCCGCATCATTTGACCAATATGGAAATATAATGGCAATTCAATGATGTCACAAAAATGAAACAAGACCCATTTGAGGCAAGGTAGTATTGGTTCATGGTTCTGCCTCGATTTACAATTGTGTTTATGCAGAATACTGAGGTTGCGTAATGCGGCAGAGTTAGTCGTCTTCAGTGCTTTTCAAGAAATAGCAGGCACATGGAATGTTTACCATATTCATGCTGCTATTAGCTGCAATTTCTATCATGTCTGGCATGCATAATAATTGTATATTGTCTAAACATTGGCTGGATAATACAATAATACCTAATAGTGTATGCAGGGCGGATCAGGGGGGGGGGGGGCTGGGGGGTGGAGGGTTGCGCAACCCCCTAAAAAGTTTTTTAGTTGAGCCTTTTGTTCTGGCCAAGCGGCCGCTTTTTTCTGGTCCGCGGACCCTCATCATGCTCGCTCCCAAGCCGAAACGCATGTAGGGTGTAATTTCAAAACTTTTTCTGGGGGAGGGCCCGTGCCCAGACCACCCCTTCGACGTGCTCCCAAGTTTGGGTTAGCGGTTGACCCCTCCCTGGTACAAAATTCCTGTACACCCCTAGTGACAAGAAAATACTGAGCTATGTTTTTAAGTAAAGATAAATATATCAGTCATTGAAAATTCAAGTCTCAAAGTTCAAGTTTTAATAAGTAAGTGTATGAAACGGAAAGCAATGTAAATTAAAATACAGTAATGGATTTTCATTTTCTTTTGTAATAGAAAGTGTGTTGTCAAATCCATATCACGGCAGTTTGACTTTCAGTCACCACCCGGGTACTGAAGTATTGTTCTCGCTCCTGATGGCCAGCTTAAATTATCAAGGCAAGTTCATCGGTTTTTAGTGGGCTTTTTGGCCTTGTAATCTGGAATTGTCTGTTTCATTGTATGCCAAGACTTGAAGTACACAAATAGTTTCGCGATCTCATATCTCTGAAAATCGACATAAAAAGGCAGTTCCTATGTTTAAATAAATTTCTGGGGGAGGCCCCCGACCCCCGCATCCGCTTCACAAGGTGCGCCGCTAACAAAATCTCAAAGTGCCCTTTCAACTGCACCGCCCCTAAGAAAAATCCTGCAAGTGGCGGTCACCACTGGGTAATGTTTAGTGCCGCAAGTAAATTCTATACATGATTCGGTACGTCATGACGATTCAGAGTTGCGAATTTAACGGAATTCGGAAGAAAGAAAGAGAGTGGCAGTTAATGTAAAGCGGCAGTAATGAAAGCGAAAACTCTCAAGACTCTCTTTCATTCTATCTTGCCGTAAAAATTCTCGGAGCATGCTCGGCTTGGCAGCTATTGGAGTCACGTGCGCGCCCGCCATACGCCGTCGGCCAGATTCCATAAGCTGCCAGCGCTGCATACTGTCGTACGACATTCCCGCTGAAGGAGGAAAAGCCTAGGTCGCCGTGCGCCTTCCCGCGGAAGACTGCGCGCGAAGATTGCGCTCAACGCTTCGGATCAACAGCTTTGTGGCACAACGAAATTCCTCTAGTATCGATGTCCTCTCACTGATATGTCCAACTGTGTTTCATAAAATAGAAAGTACCATAAAACTTGCATAAGTCGACACCTTTTGGGACCAGCTATATGTGTCGACTTAGGAAAATAACGACTACGCGTAAGTCATCATTTTGTCGATTTATAGCAATGATATGTAATGGCGCGTACACACTGTACCTTAGGTGCCTTGGCGATTTGGCTGCGATGAGTAATGTCATAAACAAG